CTTCGTTCCTGATGCATGCTTGAAAGTAGATGGATCCACCACCTGTGGCTACGTCGTTGCAGTCCTCCGAAGCGGCGATATCCACGTTTGGACCGGCTTCGACTTTGCGCAAGCATTGTTTTCGCCCAATGTCATCCAGGAAATTGTCGTTAAGTGCCCAATCAGGACCGACATTGAAGGATTTGACAGTAGCGCCATGCACGAAGTCGTCACCCTTTCTGTCGATCCCTCTCATACATCACCAACATTCCTGGTCGCCTACCAAAACGATCCCTACTTTTATCGGGTCTGCATCGACAAAACCACCCAGGACGCTGAAATTATCGCTCTCGGCGACCCATTCTTTGGTCCAACGTCAACCGTCGTGCCTTTCTTCCGTTCAGACATCAACGGCAGCTCCTGCGACGCGAAACAATCCAGCTTCGTCTTCGTTGGTGACCGGCTTGGATGCATCAGTATTTACCAGTGGGACATCAGCGCCTCCCATCCCAACCTGAATGCTCGTGCCAACGCGATAAGCCCCATCCGCAAATTCGAAGCGCACCAGGACGGGTCCAGCATCACCTCCATCGCGTGGAACGGACTCACCCTTATCACGGGCTCCGTGCGCGGCACGACGCACGTATTCGATGGATTGACGTTCGAGTTCCTACGTGCGTTTGCGTCGCCTGTCCTCCGCCTGCGCGGTCGACATGTGCCCCAAGGTGTCGACACCAGCGAGAGGGAAAGAGTGCGCCAGATCATAGTCAATGCCGAAAAGGACGCCGTTTTCGTGGCTGCTGGCGATCGCGTTCTGGCCTGGAAGGCTGGCTCGGTGTCAAAGAAGACCACCGGCGGGGTGAGGAACAGGCATACGTCGGGTGTGTTGCGTGCTAAGCAGAGAAGTGGCAGCGGCAAGTACCTTGGTATGTCTCGATGCTATCTTTTGATGTTCGGGACTAACTGGATGTGCTTTATAGAAAAAGTAGAGTTGAAGCACTCGATCCATGAGTCGCACGACCTGCTGGAAGACGAAGCAGAGCATTCGCGGAGGGCATACGGAAGAGAACGAGAGCAGCAAGCAAGGCTTGACACGCTTGGCTTGAGCGAAGTTGAAGCCGTCGAATATGTCCTGATGCTCAGTCGCGATGAAACAAATGCCCAGGCTTCGAGCTCAAGCTCAGGATTGGAAGAAGGCGTGTTTGAAGGAGATTTCGACGACGAAACTGGCGAGGAAGACGACGGCACCACTGTAAGCAGCGGTAGAGGAAGCCGTCGTCCCAGCATCTCGTCGAGCTCAACAGGACTTAGAGCACCACCATCGGTCTCATCGTCTTCGTCATCCGCATCTTCTGCCTCGCGATCGTCCCATTCGAGCCGTTCAGTCAGCGCCATAAACCCTGGACGTCCTATTCCTCGCGTCCAGCCGTCGGGCTCGAACCAGAAAGTGCAGGTATCGCCACCTTATCGTGGAGAGCCCGTGGAGGCAGGACCGGAGTACATAGCAGGGTCTGAGTCCGCCTCATCGATGTCGTCTCTTTCCTTGTCGCCTCCGTCAGGGCCAACAGGGACACGCATGCATCTCGAGGACCACTACTTCCCTCCCATGCCCACCAGCACTAATGCCAGTCCGACGAAGACACCGCCGACTCCCAGCCCGAAGTCGGTGAAGACCTCGCCAGCCTCGAAGGGGAAAGCAAATGCATGGAGTGCCCCTCTTACGAAGAGGATGTCGACGAACCCTGCATCGTCTGCTCCGCGTCCGAATGCGTGGGCCGGGCCGTCGAGGATCTCGCCGCCCAGTGTCGGTCAACCAGCAAGGCATTCGATCGGTTCCGCTGCGGCGGCGGGGTCTGCAGGCGATGATATGGATGACGATCTGCGCTTTGCTCTCGAGTTGAGCTTGGCCGAGGCGAAGAGTCGCGGAGAGGACGCCTAAATCCTGCCAGGCTTCGAGTCCTCGACTGCGCATCGTCACCCTCCTTAAAAGCAGCATGTATGCGCCAAAAAGTCTGTTTCTTCTCTCAAAAAATGGTTTCTGCCTCGTCTGCCTTACATGGGCTCCCTTGGTACCTTCTAGATGACGATGACCTTAGATTGTTCTTGCGACTCGTTTACTAGTAGTTCATTGATTTCCTACTTTCCCGCAAAGCCTTAGAGGTTCGTTAGATCATAGACAACCTCTCGATACCTGCTTGTTCTCGCTTCCTGTTCCTTGACTGAATTCATGCTGCGCTTGTCTATTCCAAGTGCACCTTGTGCGGCATCCGAGGGAGAACGAGCACAAGAGGTCGATTTCATGCTGTACAACCGTCGGCGGTCTTACACGATCCGTCGATCCGTCATCGTCCTCACGATGCATCCAACGCCCGCAACCTCCGTCAACTGCAGCGCAGAAACAGCGTTCAAGAATCAGTTACCGTGAAACAAATGCAATTACACTGGCTGCTCACCTTCTCGTGCCACCCCAACAGCACGCTCCCGCTGATATCGCCCCAACCGGGCATCGCCATGCCCTTGTAGAGGTACTTCATGAGCGTGTCCTGCGCGTCGAGCGGCAGGCTCTTGATCACGCCTGTAATCTCGGTCGATTTCGTGGTATTTAGGATTGTGAGCAGGGTTGTGAGGGTTAGGTTCTGTTCGTGGGGGACTTATTAGCCTGAAAGTGATGAGGGAAGAGAGGAAGGAGGGTAGGCACCTTGGCTTCGTCGACGTTAGGCCCGTAAGGGGCGTTATCGAGGATTATTGTTAGGGCACCCGCGATGTCGTTTCTGTTCATAATGGGGCCAACAGTGAGCATTCGGTATCATATTTTCATCCGCTTTAATGCCTCAGAATGTGTCCAACCCTTGGAAGATACCCAAGACGTCCAATACCTCGACAGATAACGCCATGAGCTCAGGAATAGATCGAAACAGAACTCACCTAGCCAAGAGCCCTCTCACAGCTCCTGCACGTTGCCTCGCATCTTCAAGCACCTCCGCAGGATCCCGCGGGTCCGCATCATACAGCTCCGAGTCCTGCAGCACGTCTTCGTCGTACTGGTCAATGTCGATCTTGCGAAATGAGTCCATAGTTGTTTGAGGGTAATAAGGAAGTGCCTAATTGCTGGTGGGTACACTTGGTCAAAGGGTCCGCTTATGTAATGAGATAAGATATTAAGCAACCGCCATAGCGGGGGAAGGCTCGCTGCGCCATCCTAGCTGGCACTAAAGAGTTCCAATCCAATATGTGATCTTTTAACTGCTGGCGCAGCTCCACATGGCTGCTCGAAACGACGCTCGGGACATCAAAGTCGTCCTTGGGGCGAATATCACCAACGTCACTCCGAGTCTCCGAGAGCAGTATGAGCCCCGTGCTTGGGTCATCGATTTCAACGAGGTCAAGGTGTTTGATTTCACCAAAAGTCAGGTCCCTTTGCTTGTGGATGCATTCTTCGCGAATGAGCCGTATTTCCCTCGATCCGCTTTACACCGTCTTCTACAAAGCCTACCTCGAGGAGTGCGAGAAGATTGGAGAGGTCGCAGGGCAGCTAGGTCAGAAGTTCATCGTAGCGTTGGAGGCAGAGCAAGCTCGCGAAGATATTCAAGCTAGGCAACGGCGTCCAGAAATAGTCCCCGCTTTGTAGAGGTGGCTTGCGATGGGTGTTCCGTACGTTCCGTGTTTGACCACACCTTATATGAGTTACCTGCTTCGTAGGACTCGGTAATGTACAACATATGCTACTATTTCACGCGTTCGAAAGAGGCGCATCTATATGTGGCAGAATTCGAAACGGAGTAGTCCGTTGGATGGCTCTACAAGACCAAGCAACAAGAGGTAGAAGGTGTAAAACAGAGAACGAAAGCAGACAGGGATAACTAGGTTTGAACGTTCCGTGTTGTACAGGGGTAGTACCAATGTGAGCCAGGAGAGCAAATCAATATGGAAATAATTTATATGAGACGGCGAAATGGCGAAGGTCTACTGGATGGTGCATGATTTGGCAGGGGGCTCGGTCTGGTTTGGGGCTGTGAGCTTCTCGATTTCCTGCAAGCAGAGCTCGAAGACTTTGCCTAGAGGTGAATGTGAGGTAGAGAAGGAGGATGAAGGTGGGAAGAGCACGGACCTACGTTATGGTTCGTCTTTGCACTCGTCTCTATCCACGCGCAGTCGTTCTCCTTGGCGAGCCGCTCACCGTCCGTCGAATCAACTTGTCGGCTACACAACGGACCATATGTCAGAGTTCCAGGATTGGGAAAGCGAGGCATGGGGACTCACGACATGGACAGATCGCACTTTGACCCAACGATGACGCAGGGGATCTTGCTGACGCCACAAAAGTCGATGATCTTGTCGTGCACGATTTGGATCATGTTGAAGGAGTTGCGGGAGGTGATGGAGTAGACGAGTACGTAGCCATGTATCCCGATAGCGTATTGGGAGTTGATTGGCGAGTACTCGTCCTGGCCGGCAGTGTCGATGATATGGCAGTCATATTCGACTCCCTTGTACACGACGCTCTTCGCAAACGTCGATTCTATGGTGGGGTAGTACGAGTCGACGAAGTGGTTCTAAAGAGGCCAATGTCATTGCAAGGATTAGGAAATAGCACAGAAGATTGATTTTTGAGAGACGCGCTCACCTCGATGAACTGCTTCACCAGCGACGACTTCCCTGTTGAACATACGGCATCAGTGAGACATTGCTGTCTGAGGATTTCACCAATGACGCCGACTAACGCCCGACGCTCGGTGTACAACCAAGACGTAACCCCTGTATTCACCCCCCCTGTATCACGCCCTCTCCTGCCACCAACCAACCAACCAACCAGTACGACATAGGGGGCCCCGGAACACCGAAATCAAAATCAAACACGGAAATGCTCACCAACAGACCTCGAGCCGAGCACGGCGATCTTCCTCTTCTTCAGCGCGGCGGACATCCTAGAACCAAAACTCGAGGTCGAAGTGCGAAGGGGAAAAAATGAAAAGGAAGAAAGATAAAGAGCGAAGAGAATGAAGAGAGATGATGCAGGGATGAGAGAGAGTGGAGATTGGAGACTGTCAAGCGGCCCCGACGTCGCGGTCTGTGCGGGCGGAACACTTGCCGCTTTTGCTTGGAATGGAAACCCGGCCCGGAATTTAGGGGTGTACAGAGTGGACGAAACTTTTGAAAGACTGATATTAGAGTAGCATACAGAAAGACAGTTGGTACAAGCTTATTAGTTATTACAGCATAATTTGTGCCCATGGAACTTGAAGACAGAGCACAAGGCCAGTCTCCATTGGCACCACCTACCCTTGGCACCTCCCTCAGGACTTGAACATATCAAGTTGGGTGCCGTAGTACGACGTCGTCTTCGACGTGGTGGAAGTAGTAAGGTTGACTGTAACCAGTCCTCTATTTTTGCGGAGCTCTTCACGAGCGTTTAGGCTGCGACGTGATCCATGAGACAAACCTCCGGGAGAGAGAACGAACCGGAATGGACGCACAATCCGAGAATGGAGTTGACGTAGCACTTGCTCAGAGGCAGCGCGAACATCAAGTCGTAGAATGAATTCGGGATCGTTCGGCACAGTATCAAAGAAATGACGCAGCACAATCTGTACGCTTGTCAATTCATCGCCCCGGAATTTGAAGAGCAAGGCACATACGTTGTAATGGCGCCTGCGTTGATAGTATAGGTAATGAGCTTGCGAATAGTATCGTCGTTCGTCGAGCTGCAAGTCGAGCGAATTTTAGGGGACTTCGCACAACGATCCCAAACGTCAGCGCTAACCTTCTCATCCCCCGATTGCGATGCCTCATGAGCCAGAATGTGATTCCAAAGGTGATCAGAGCGTCGGCGCCGATAGAGAAGGAAAAGTACATAGTCGGAAGGTACTGCGTCCGGTAGAGTTTAGAGGCGAACAAACGGGGCGATGGTGTGGAACAACTCACAGCGAGTTTGGCGACTTGGAGGAACGTTCCGTGTTTGTAGAGCTGGGCCATATGAACTAAAGATAGATTCTCGATGAGTGTCAACAACCTCCGTCATTCATGGACCTCCATACCGTTACAGGAAACGAGGGCGCCAATGCCGAGGATGACCTACTTCCGTATAAATTAAAGTTGGAGAGACCTAGGGACAGGAGGACAGACGATGACGATGGGAGTGATGTACTCCTTCCTGTCGCTCACTTTGGAAAAGAAATTGCTCAACTCGACCGGCAGACGAAATCAAGGAAAAGCTACGCACGCATCCACAATCTGTATGCATAGAAAACTTGAACGATGATTCCAATGACGCCGTTCGCCAATATAGATACCTAAAGGAGTCGTTAGGAACCTGTCTTAGTTTATTGCTAGATTTACTCACCAGTGTGCTCCAGTCAGCGAACAATAAAGATAGAGGATTGCAATAGTTCGCAATGAGGAAATGCCACATCATGTGGATGTTGCACGCCATTGAAAAAGTGTCCAGGACGCTGTCGAGGGGATTTGGTTTGATTTTTCTGGCTTGCGATTCGAATGAGGTGACATTTGGAGGCTCACGTCAAGACGATAACCTGAGAAAAGATCAGATCCGACAACTTGCAAATGTGAGCTGCAGGAACTTACCAACACGTAAACATGAGTCCGATCAGCCCCCCAATATCTCGAGAAATACTGATACGTTTGTAGGATCGTCAATCCGTACATCCTAAACACCATTCAGTACCTCTGAAGCGATCTCTGCGGATCAGAACACTCACATCGCCGCGAGGTACGAACCGATCAAGCCAGCGCCAGCGGTAGGCGCGATTGGAAGTTGCGAAATATCGAACGCCAGAGTAGCCATGGTGGTTGTCCGAAGAAAGTCGGAGGGACCAACGGCTCAGAAAACGCCAAAACTCTTCGGAATTTCTTCTCCGAATAAATACGAGCGATAGTATGGGGCAGGGATGTCCACGAAGCGAGTGTATGTGTAGAGGTCAGCAGAGGCAGCCCTGCTCACTGTGGGCACAGCGTTCCATATATCGAAGAGTAACCTCGTGCTCCCTGGCGACGGACTGCATTTTCGAGCAAGGATTTTTGAATTCTCGCTCCGGGTGCTTCCCTCATCGGGACCTTCCAAGAGTTTAATAGACGAAAGGAGCGCAAATTAAAGGGATCGGCTGCCCGGTCAACCAACGTTTCTATTGCTTTGTAAGCACCCCCCCTCACTTCTCATCACACGCACTTGGAAATCAGACGCCTAGCCTCGCGTAGAGGGACGGGACCCGGGCGGGACGACAGCCGGTGCAGAGGATGTCCAAGGATGGTAAGACAATACATCCGATGCGCCACATAAAGCCAAAGGTGCCATGTGCAAAATGACAGGGTTACGGATAGGGGCCTTCGTATAGCCACCGTAGCCCACCGAACGAGTCCGAACGTCGCGAAGCGTAAGTCTAGTGAGCATTTATGACGAGGTTCGGCAAGCTCGCTAGTCAGTTCAGTGAATTGTGATCCTGTTCGACTGTTTGAGGGTTCCCCTTCTGCCCTCAAGTTTCTCGGGAGAGTTTCCCATATTGAAGAATCTTTTAGGCGAGCGCACCGGGGCCGACAAGTTCTCCCTTATGTAACGCTAGCGCATGCATGAGGCGCTCCATTTATCAACCGAAACGGCGATCTTCTAAATTCCGGGCACACGATCATAAAAGTCATAACCTATAGAGGACAGTACAATAGAATACAGGATTTTACTTTCCATGTTGCAGTTATATATTATTCAATTAGAAAGAAATTAAGCAGACGCAGACTTGGGGGCCGACGAGAAGAAGGGGCTAAACGGACTGCTGGGTCTGTTTTCCGGTTCGTTTCCCCTGTCTCGAATCTTGGTATCCATCTCATAAGAGGTCGTCTTGGAGGTCGTAAGGTTCACAGCAATTGATCCTCCCTTTTTGCGCAGACCCTCGCGGGCATTGAGGCTACGAGAGGAGAGTATGAGCGATGAATTGACAGTAGTCACAGAGAAGGCGTACAATGCGAGCATCGAGTTGACGTAGAGCTTGCTAAGTGGTAAGGAGAAAAGGAGATCGTAATATGTTTGAGGAAGCGCTCGGCAGAGTATCAGGGAAATAACACAACACAATCTATCACCAGGTGAGTTGGGAAAACGAACGAAAGCAGCCGCAAAAGTAAAGACGCACGTTGTAATTGCGCCAGCGTTGAGTGTGTAGGCGATTAACTTGCGAATTACGTTGTCCGTCCTGAAGCTGTAATTATCCTAACTGTTAGACGAGTCTCGACGCTACCAAGTAAGTTCACTCACCTCCTCACCCCATCGCTATGATTCTTGACGAGCAGGTACGTGATTCCGAACGTGATGAGCGCGTCAGCGCCGATGGAAAACGAATAATACATGGTTGGGAGGTACTGCAGAACAGCCTATTTGAAGCACGCACACAAACAGAAATAACAAAGTATACGCACTGCCAATCTGACAACCTGGAGGAATGTCCCAAATTTGAATAGATACGCCATATACACTGTTATGTTGAGAAGCCGCGAGTGAGTTTTCGCGCTTTCTCTGCCATCAAGTCGTCATTACTCACCAGTACACGACGCAAGGGCCCCCATTCCCAAGAGAATCTATGTACGAAAAAAGTAAGCGCTCGGTGAGTGCTTCCGATCCGAGACCCAAAATTAGCGCACGATAAGAATAGAAGCCAGGTAATACTTCCTATCGCTCACTGATATTCAAATTAGCTTAACGCTTCTAGAACGAGGAGTGCCAGGCACGTACGTATCCATAAGCGATAGGCGTAAAACGCCTGGACGATTATCCCCGTGACCGCGTTCGTCAGGATGGAGAGCTTTTGCGAATGTCAATTAGCGCCGTGCGCTTGAAGGCAAGAACATGATCCCACTCACCAACGTGCTCCAATCAGCGAATAGAAACGTTATTGGGTTGCAGTAATTGGCGATGAGGAAGTGCCACATCATGTGTATGTTGAAAATGAGTGCGAGGGTATCCAGAATTCTGTCAGAGGACGAGAATTAGATTTCAATCAGTGTCCGGAATAGGGGGCCGCGCTCACGTCAGTGTGATGACCTAGAGAGTGCCTGATGTGAAGCGCTCAGAAATAGGTTATTGCGGGACAGGGTTTACCAGGACGTAGATGTAAGTTCTGTCCTTCCCCCAGTACCTCGAGAAGTACTGGTAGGTTTGCAGTATTGTGAATCCGTACATTCTAGAAAATTTCCTCTTAGTGGCTGCTTAACGCCCGAGAAGCAATTTGAAAACACCTACACTGCAGCGAGGTACGTGCCAATTAAGGCCGCGCCAGCGGTAGACTCGATCGGAAATTGAGACAGAAGCGTCGACATGGGGGTGAGGGGGTGGGGGAAGAAAAGGTGCGATGAATTTTTGCGCCCTTGCTTTAATGCGACAGGGATTCTGTGCAGGGGTGGCCGACTGAAGGAACTGTATAGATTGTAAAGATGCGTAGTCTCCTGTTCCTAGCGCAACAGGCTGCGTTTTAATTTACCGGCTTCGTACTTGGCTGGCTTCCTTCATTGAGATCGAATTGCCAAGTATGCGAAGGAGCACTGAGGGAGCTGGATCAGAAGCGGATGTTTAGCTTTCTTCGTGCTTGTGCGAAACCCTGGACTTTGAGTCAATAGATTACCCGCTCGTGTGAACGTGTGAGGCAGATAGTCTGATAGAGGCCTCAAGCAATGGGGTTGCGTCCTTGAGTCTTTTCTATCGTCGGTCTCCAAGGTCGACGTTGGTGACCGGGACTTGCCGTTGTCATGTTAGTCCCTAGATGGAAATAAAATGCATCCGATGCGCCACATCGCGGCTGACATCGTCGTGTGCTCCTGGTGCCTCGCGGATAGCCTGCGGCACAGCCACGGTAGTAGATCACTGATCTCTCAGATGAGATGAGTTCAATTGCCAGACACCTCGTTGAGCCTTTGTAAATGCCTGCCTGAGGTGACCTCCGAGGCATGCTGTTGGTTCATGGGCACCTAAGCTCACCTAAGTCGTCTCGCGTTCAGAGAAGTCATGCAAGGGGGGCGATTGAGCGTGGTTGCAAGGTTTGTCATCCAACTGTGGAGCTGGGAAGTTCCTGAGAGTCGACGAAACACGAGATGAAACGGCCCAAGCAGGCGAGCATTCAAATATTCAACAGACAACAGTACGGAAAGAGACGACGGTTACATGTCCGTTAAGTATGTGTCCTTGACAGGAAGATGAAGGTCGGAAGGCGGGATGGAGCGGACAATCTCATTGAGCTTGTCCATCACCTCTTTTGCAGCTGGGCGGTCCCGAGGGTTTTCTGATACCAGGGGTGGCCAGATGGCGTCGGTCTCTGGAATGCCTGAACTCTGTGATACTGGGACATCAGAATTATGTGAGAGCGAGTTATAAAAGCATACCGGGAAGTGCTTGAGGACCGAGGTTCCAAATTGCCAGATATCGAGACGGAATGGACAATAAGGCTCGTCCGGTGTGCTGAGTTCAGGTGCTCGAGGGCGAAAATATTTGTCATCTGGAAACGGAAGCCCGCGGCACAGCTGCTCAGGATCAGACATGTCGATGGCAGTTTCGAAGTCGATCAGGTAAACTCGAGGTTTGACCACCGATTTCCTGGAAATCATAGATTCAGGAAACCAGTCTACGATAAAATTATCAAGGAAAAGATCCTAGCGAGTACGTGTTGAGCAAAGAGAAAGAGGTAGGGGAACCGAATTACTAACCCGATGCGCTATACGATGCTGATGAATGTCGACGATCGCCTGTGACGAGTGTGAACATTTTGGCAGACGAAGGCTGTGTTATGCGACGTACCTCTACAGCCTGTATGAGCATATATATGACGTCTTCAACTGAATTCTTGAAGCGCTGATGCTAGCCCTCCTGGACCTTATACATAGCTTTGGGCACCACAACAAAGGTGAGATCTTCATACGTGATTTCTTTGATGATCGGTAGAATATGGTTGCTGCTCAGGAGAGGGTGAAGCGAAAATGAGAGGCGACGAAGGGTTCGTAGACGCTCGTCGCCTTCTTTGCCCACAGTAACCAGAGTGACGATGTAATCTCTGCCGTCGTCCCCACGCACAGCGTGACTAAGGCCAGTGCTCAAACCCCAGTAAGTCAACCTCAGGCCAGGGTCCGGGTTGTTGGGGCCCAAGAAAGAGTAGCCACTGGGCTTCGGCAGACCCTTTACGACCTGGTTGTACTCGTCGAAATGATCCCACAGAGTGAAGCCCTCGCGGTTGAGAACCAGATTGGCCACTGTCTCCCAGGTCTGCATGTACATATCACGTTCATAGATGGTAGACCAGGATTCCAGATCTTTTGGTAACTGAATACCACAAGTTTAGCAATTACTGGGGTCTTCGTCGATTAGAAACGGGAAGTACCCACAGCACTTCGGGCTTTTCCAATCGTTCTTGAGCTCGAACCGTATTCAGTCGGTGACTCGAAGGCAGGGTCGCCTTCCTCATTGATCGAGAAAGGGTTCATAGCCAATTTAACGCGTATGCTAAGGCCAAGCTCGCAGAGAGTGTGGTCATAGATTGGGAGAAGTGAAAAAGACAGTGCACAGCCTCATCATTGTGGGTCCCTTTATTTGCATACCTTTGACGCGACTCGGGAAACGCGGCACGGCTGGGCAACTCTTTGAAGACAAAAAATTATTCCCAAGTACAGCAGACAAGAATCGAATCAGCGGCGCCCGCACTTCGCGAGGCCCCCCCTGGGTATGCTCTTGCCCGTGATAATCATCATGCTATCAATTAATTAATTTCAACAGAACTCCCCTTTCTCCAACCCGTCCAGCTGTTTAGGTCAACACATCAGAGGCATGTCCTGTGAAGTGCATTGCAAGTTTCCAGAGTCTCAACCTGTTGTCCTGTGCTCTTCCTATTAGTTGGTTATATGTGTAGTTCTATCAATATGTCCATGTCTATAAAATGACTCTGGGATCCGCTTCCCAAATTTCTTCTCCTGGGTACTTAAGTACTAAGCATAGAGTCGTTAAGCGCGCGTAGGTGCGTAAGTCTATTACTTACGTCAGGGGATGCACCGGCCCGATTATTCCCACAAGTGACCTAAAGAAGTCCGACTATCTCCGACAAGCCGTCACAATCTCCGACTCAACCAGCTCTCTTCGCTCTCACCCGACCCACTTCGCCTCGGACAAACTACAACTATGGCGCCGGCACGGAAGGAAAAACCAATACACTCACTGTATGCCATTTACTTTCGAAACCTTAATGCCGCGTTTCCTCACATGTTACTAGATTTGCTGGAGCCACCGCTGGCGCCATCGAAGCGTACGACCAATCTCATTTTGTATCTTCCGCGCATCTGAACGGCTGTAGGATGGTAGTTTCATAACATACCCGACTGAGTTTGTTAAAACGAGATCGCAGTTTGGTGGCAAGGTCCGTCGGCGCTGTCATCACACGGACGGATGTGTTGACTACTACGATCTCCCCAACCCAGAAAGAAGGACCTATCACAATCATTAGGGACACACTACGAACTAAAGGCGTCGCGGGCCTATACTCAGGATGCATGGCATTAGTAGTTGGAAACTCGCTGAAGGCTGGCGTACGGTTCGTGACCTATGATTCCCTGAAGCACAAGCTCGCGGACAAGGAGGTATGCATTTTGTCCTTCATGAGGTATGGTCGTGCCTTTCTGACATTTGTCTAGGGTAAAGTAACTCCGGCTCGAAGTCTAATTGGTATCACTTCCTTGTTGCTGGGTTGGGGCTGTAGATACTGAAGGCTCATTATTCCACAGCTGGTCTTGGAGCTGGCATGATGGAGGCCATCTTCGCCGTTACCCCCTCCGAAACAATCAAGCATGTGCCATAAACTCTCTCATTCTTCTCTGTCTAACTTAGACTTCCCCAGAACTAAGCTCATCGACGATTCTAAACGTCCGAACCCTCAATATCGCGGTCTGATTCACGGAACAGCTTCCATAGTCCGACGAGAAGGAATTTCAGGGATCTATCGTGGCCTTTTCCCTGTGGTACGCCTCTTCCGATGAATTTCACGCAAGTCCCTTCATACTTTCAAACGAGCAGATGATGCGTCAAGGGGCCAATTCCGCTGTCAGATTCACGACATACGCAACGCTCAAGCAGTTTGTCCAAGGAACAATGCGTCCTGGCCAGCAGCTTCCGACTGCCGTCACCTTCGGGATTGGGGGTATCGCCGGTCTTGTGACGGTGTATACGACGATGCCTCTCGAGTATATCTACCTAATGATCCTCCATTTCCTTACTGATTCACTGTCGGTTTAAGTGTTATCAAGACCCGGATGCAGTCGCTAGAAGCCCGATCTCAGTACCGCAACTCGTTCCATTGCGCCTATCGAATCTTTACTGAGGAAGGCATTCTGCGATTTTGGACGGGGACGACGCCAAGGCTAGCTCGGCTGGTAGTACGTTCGCGTTTTTTTTTGATCCTGGTTGTCGAAGCTCATTCTGCTTCTCGTTGTAGATGAGTGGTGGAATCGTCTTCACAATATACGAAGCTATGATTAAGGCCATTGGAGGGAGAGAAGACGAACAATAGTGTAGCCTGAACCTCTGGATATGTCACCACTTTTTGGTGCAGGGTCGAAGGTCTTACGAAGACCAACGGCTCGGGGATAGCCGAAGCCACTTCACTCCCTGTATGTAGTTCGAGACCTATTTACATAAACCTTCTTCCTCACCACTACTGCCAGCGTGACGGAAAACCACACACGATTGCCCTTGCCCGTTTAAAGCACCAAAAGAACTAAGTGCTGTGATCTAAATGCAGTCCTCTCTCTCTCAACCGCTTCTCCCTCGCCACCTCGTTGACGAGATACAGAGAACATACGGGGCAGCCTATTTGACGATGTCAGACGTATCCCAGGAAGCGAGCCATGAGTATCGTTTGGCAATGCGAAACTGGAACGGCCCTCTACCGCCTGATATCCACCTTTGCAATGAGCTCGACCCAGCTTTCTCTCAAAAGGCCAAGCGAACATACCTACACTACATGGCCGCGACGGCGGACATCCTCAGCGCATGCGAACTACTGTACTGCGGAGCATCCCCAGACAAAGCATCCCCAGACGGTTACACCCCGATCTTCTCAGCCCTTGCTGAGCTGGCCGTGCGACGTTTCCGCAGCTTCGTTACTCCTCTCCTTCCACCATCTTACCTTCCATCCGTTGTGAATTGTCCACCGCAATACCTTCCTGCGTATTCTCACATCGCTAAGATCCTCATCGAACAGCACATTGATGTCAACCAGACAGTTCATCGTGTCTCAATTCTCCGGCTGGCATGCCTTGCCAAGGATTGGGATATCATTGGTCTCCTGTTTGAACATGGAGCCAATGACACCATATCCTCATCTACAAGTACTTTCAAGGCTACCTTCCCAACTGCGAGTGACAGGAAACGATATACCGCACTCGTTGCAGCCAAGCGGCTTCCAGAAGGTCAGCAACGTCCTGCGCGAATGTGTCCTTGTTGGTCGGGTAAGAGGGTATCAGAATGCCACGGAAAACTGGGTGCGAAGGTCCCGTATCCGCTTGACTACGTCTGTGTCTGCGGCTCAGAGAAGACCTACCGACGCTGCTGCTCACGCAAGGCCAAGCTCAGTGTCATAGAAGAATGGAAGTCTGACATATGCAGGATCATGCACCGGTACGACGAGAAAGATGACATGGCAGAAATCAACCAAAAACTGCAGGAGTTGATGAAAAAAGGGCAACTGATGGAGGATTCTCTTCGACGAGCGATTGGATTACCTGAAGATCCTGCAAAAAACCATACCATGTATACGGATCCGAATGAATTCGGGAAAAGGGTGACCGAGCAAGGTCTGGTTGACCCTGCTTTTGGATATGCTATGTGTCGGTATCCTGACCGAGTTCCACTGTAAGCTCCCTTAGCTCCCTACTTAGTAATTCCACGCAACTAACTTGGACATCTTTGTAGGCCTGTCGACAGGACCGTAAGATCGCGTCAAGTTATGGAAGGCAGGCATGCGATCTGGAATTCGCTCGTCGACGAATACATTGCTCTTGGGACTGACAGCCGGTCAGCCTTCGAGATTGCACGAGCTGCAAAGGTGGGGACATGGGGTGGTGCGTACATCCGTCAGTGCGAAGGCGAAAATTGCGACAAAGTGGAGCAGAAAGACGTCGAAAAGCTGCAACAGTGTATCAAGTGCCAAATGGTATGCCGGTATTTAATCTCAGTCAGTTTTTGATCTCCACTCACGATGACTGGCGCCTTGACTTCTACAGGCAGTGTACTGTGGGCGAGAATGTCAGAAGTCTGCCTGGCCGACTCACAAAAAAGTTTGCTCAACCCCAGCGCAGCGACCTCAATTGTTGCCCTCGCAAATGGCTGTCTTGAAAAAGGTCATGCCAGCGATTGCCAATGGCGAAGTCCTTTTATATTTGCCATCGTAGTTGTCGAGTGCTTGGCAGGTTTTAGTCTGTTGATTTCCATTCGTCGGCTCCCAATAAATTTCTCGCTTCTTCCTCTGTTCGAGTTCTTGATGCTGTATACTGACAGTACTAGTAACAAGCCCAGCACCGCCTCCGCACAGTAAAACGAGCTTTCTTGAAGGACGCTACGGCACTAAAGACAACCCTTTGTGTATTTTCAAAATAAAATACATTACAGTAATTCACTGCCTTCTTGTACAGCAAAAATGAAAATGCCCTCTACTGTTCGTCATAGATGAAACTCTTGTTCATTTCTGTATATATGAGCTGCCTATATGTCGAAACTAGGTCGGTGTGCGATTTGAACGCCGTCGGGTGAGAAATGGACACGCTGTCAGTAAATCCGTGCCGGGGTACCCTTTTTGGGCAAAACCGGGCAGTTGTACAGTGTCACGCCGTTGCCGGTGGCTGTGTCACGCAGCTCAGTTATCTTCGGTCCGATGCGATCAATTGATAAACACTTGTTCTATTCTTCGTCTATCGTACCGTCGCCACCCACATCCTCCTCAGGATCCTCCTCAGGATCTTTCCGCGCCTTCTTGGTTGGGGGTTTTACCCGGGTCTCCTTGTAATTCGAACGCAAAGGCTTTGGATGGGCTTTGTCCCAAACCTTCAGCTTGCGGCCCGCCTCCTTCGCTGCTACTCGTGCTGCTGTCCACTTGTTTGCATCCTCCTGAAACTGGCGATACAGTGCCGCATTCCTAGCCTCCCGACCATCCTCATGTGCCTGCCACACTGCCATCCGCTCCTCGTATTCAAGCTGCTGGGCAGCCCTCTCCTCCTTGTCGCGCGCCTCCTTCGCCTTCGCATCCTCGTGCTCCTTGACGGCTCGAATCACGGCGGAATGTGTCATCAAACGAGGTAAGCTGTCTCGTAGAATACCTCCTCGCCCCTTCTTCTTCCTCTCTGCCTTTCCTTCCTTCGCTTGAAGCTGACGACGCAGTTTGTTGCAGTATAATCGCTGCAACACGAGCATGGATTGCATACGGATCGCCTGCTCCTTGTAGTAATCTGCTGCCGCTGCTTTCGCAATGAGAGCCTCCTGCATGGTGTCCTCGTCGGGTGTGGATGTCGTCTTTGTTGTGAGGTATGTGACATCTTGCCTTGACATTGACGGTTTGGTAATGCGACGTTTCATAGGCGAGATGAGAACATTCGGCAGATCGGGTGGATTAGAAGACGATGGGATAGGCGTTTGTGAGAAGAGAAAGCCGCAATCAGAGTTGGCAAGTTCTTCGAGGGCGGCTCGGATGGGAAAGGTGTCAAGCCGTGGGTGGGCAGGTTCATCATTTACAGGTTCTTGTTCCTCCCCTTCTCCCTCCTCACCCGCTTCATGACCAGCCTCACCACCCCCCTCCTCAACATCATCTACCTCCTCATCAGCACCATCCTCCACCTCCTTGTCCTGCTCTCCATCCGCCACCGCTTCTTCCTCCTCTTCACCCGCTTCATATTCCTCATCACCTCTCTCGTCAACCGCATCCCCACTGGCTCCCTCATCCTCACCTTCGGAATCTGTATCCGAATCATTGTTTGGAGACGACGTGATGAAGATAGGCTGGAGGGTGTCAATGATCAGCTCCGTCATGATGCGGACAGCAGCTGGTGGCTCAACTGGGGTGTAATGCCGAAACGAGGTGTCGCGGCTGGGAGCGAGCTTATCAGCGGAGATCACGTCGCGGTTAAAAGGTATGATTCCTGTCTTCGAGAACGCCTTCTTGATTAACTCCGGTTGTAGTATCGCAAGATGGGTGTCACCATAAACCTCCAGGAAGTTCTCTTTTGAGATCTCCTGGCCCGTCTCTCGAAAGAGTTTGTCACGGTTCTCACCGAACCTTTGCTTCATCGGGCTGAATATCACGACATCCAGACCTTGGTAAATGTGAGTTGTATGGGCAGGATAGCACAAGACATGGATCTTATGCGCCTTGCAGAACATCAAGAACCCGCGAGTGACATGTGAACCATGTCCGTCGATGTAGAGGACTCGCCACCTGCCACCCGCCTTCTCACGAGTCATTCGCTCGAAGTGCTTTGCGTACTCGATGCCGATCTCATTATCCGTCCAGCCCTTCTTCGAGTATCCCAGCCTTGTCGCAGTAAGTACATGATATGATCCAAAAGGTTATCATTACTCACATTGCTTCTGCAGGGTTATCTTGCTTCCACCGAACCGCAAAGCCCTTTCCAGAAAACAAAACGGCTGGAGGTATGGCAGTCCCATCCAAGCAGATATTGACAATGACAGTCGTTGTCTCCCTCGTTCCAGCTTGCTGCTGGTACTGGACGTTCTTGCCCACTCCGCCAATCACCCGCTCTTCTCCCTCATCACCGTTAGCCTGAAAACCTGCCTCATCCAGCGTGTACGTGTTCTCAGGTGCAATTGCGTTGCCCTCATCTCCATGCAGCTGGACGTTCTCAACGAGATCACACCAGGCCTTATGGTTTTCTGGGTTCGCAGCTTTCCCTCGGACATCATGGAGTGGCTGAGTCCGGTATATGTGAAGGTGTTTGTGATGCCGCTCAACAAAGCGGTGGGACCAGTGCTTCCCAAGACCAGGAAAGGAGGTGCCATAATGCGCTCGGCAGAGCTCTATGACGTGCTCCTTCAAACGACGATGTGACAGCCCGAAGCCCTGAGCTGCCGTCTCGATGAGGTAATTGACAACCTCTTCTTCTTCGACAGCGCTCAAATGAGATGAATCCCATTTAGTCTCCTCCCGAGGACGTGTTTTGCCAGTTGCGTGATTACGGACAGTGTTGTGATTCAGCTTCAGCCAGTGGCCTGTCTTGGCATGCCATCGCTTGCGTGCCTCCTCAGCCACCTCCCAGTAAGACAGGCGCTCGTCTTTTGGCTTCTGTTGCTCATCCAGCCAAATTGCGTGAGCAATCCGGTAAGCTCTTGCCTTTTCCTCTTCTTCTTGGCGTTTTTTTAGCGCGTCGGAGGCTGCGTGCTTTGCCATGGGGGTGTATTAAGGTAGTTTAGTGTTGACCGTAATAAAGCGTGTTGAGGAGCTTGCGGAAAAAGCAGTTATGTGTTCGAAATTGAGGAAAACGGGGGATCAAGGTGCAGCGTGACGGGTGTGTCACACTTATGATGCGGTGTGACCATCACCGATGACCAAT